GATTGTTTTGACTGTGATAATTACAATGTCTGTCAGATTCCAGAATTGCAATGATTATACTTTTTACTTTTGTAGTATCTTGTTGGCTCTACTCTTTCAAGGCAAATTATAGACAGAATCTAAATTTTTCATGTGGCTTTAGCTTGTGGCCTATAAATGTTATTTTGTAATTTAGCAAAGGACCGTAAGAAGAAAAAGCAAAGTACTTAAGTAGCTGTTGCTGGATTTGTATTTTCAAAACAAAACCTGTGGGAATAAAATTTACTTCTTTCCCATCAAAAGTTCCCACAGTGTAAGGATGTTAGTAACTGATGAAAAATGAGGATACTGCTGCTTGCTAAGCCAGGGAAAATGTATTTATTCATTTATTCGGAGAAAAATGATACTTATTCGTTCCTTTATTCATTCATTTCACATTTTTTGAGAACTTACTGGGTGCCAAGCATAATGTGTTAGGCACAAAAAAGAATCTTCTATAATAATATATGTTAAATCCTACTCCCTCCATCTCCAACTGTGATACTGAGTGTCTTCAATAAATGTAGGAAACATCAAATACTAATTCTTCGTGTCGAAGGAGCATTCAAAAATAATTACTTAAAGACAAAATTATCCTACCCATAGAGAACCAAAAACTTGTTTTTGGTGTATATGTACACATATACATTTTTTTCTTTCTGATTTAAAATTATTTACACATTTGTGCCCAGGATTAAGGATAATGAAATTCAACCACAAAAATGAGTAAATAAATATATAATTGTGGTGTCAGAATTTATCAGTTTAGGGTGGTTGTCTCCATGTTCACCTTTCTTTTGATCTTCTTGTAGATGTTATTGTTATTGACTGCAAATGCCTCTGTATTTTTGCTCATTGGAATGTGGCTTGACAGATTAATTATATGTTATCAGGCAGTTGAAGATCAGTTAAAGATATGTGGCCACAAGAGGGATGCTGATGTCTTTGAGCTGTTCCTTTCTAAAAAGTAAGTATTTCTTACATCAAAAAATGAAAGAGTATCCCGTTATAACGTTTCATAGATTCAAATGTTCTTTTCCATTTCCACCCTCAAGGACTGCATAGGCAAACACACTCTAATCACTTTACCACTTGTTGAAGTACACGTTTATATTAGAGAGGAAAGATACTGAAATGAATAAAAACAAAGATTATGGAACTGGGCCGAGTTTGAATCCCACTCTTGTCTCTTCCAGCTGGGCGATCTTGGGTGTGTCACGTAACCTCCCTGTTAGGGTTGTCAGAGTCCAGATAAATATATAAGACATCCAGTTAAATTTGAATTTCAGGGAAACGATGAATATAATTTTTTTCAGTGTATTTCCTACACAGCATTTGGAGCATCAGTTGTTTCTCTGAAATTCACATGTAACTAATGTCCTGTATTTTATCTGGTAACTCTCTCTATCCCCTGTGTATGCTAATACTACATGATTCCCAGGGTTATTGTGGAGATTAGGTGTGTCAGTAAAAGTTAGAGGAGGGCCTGATACACGGTAAGTACTGGAGCATTAGTACAGTTGATATTGTTACTATTATTAGGAACAATGACTCATTATATTCCTATACTATAATAATAACCCCTATTACACTACAACTCCTAACTCTACCTATACTAATACTTACTAGTAAGGAGGAAAACCCCTCCCTTATGTTAACAGCCCTCTTTGATTCCCCTGGAACTCCCTAAGGTGGCAGACGACAAAGTGGGTTTTTCTATAGAGTGGTTCTAGTACCTCAGATGGAACCCAGGTATAAGATGAAGAGGAAATTGTGCTTAACATTAGCCTCTGACACCACTGTTTTCATTAGCTGGTAGTGACACTGCAGGCTGCATTTTAATAACAATGACCCTACACCTACTCTTCTTTTTCCCCTTTACTTTTCTTAATGCCTGTGAATTCTAAGTATCATTTTAAAATAGGCTTGACATATTTTTACTCATATGTCATCTTTGGAACTCAGCTCCTTTGTAAAGAAAATGCCCTACTTTATCAATGAATTTAATCACCTTTATCTCTAGTGATTTGAAGAAATTCTTTATTAATAAATCTATTTCTTTTATTAATAATAAATATTTATTTTTATAAGTACAGAGAAAAGCATTTAGCTTTGTAATGGCTCTAAATCTCTTGGTAGTAAGGGAATAAATAGATGGCCTATTTGAAATTTTAAAAAATATATTTTTTAGTATGAAACAGGTACAGTAGGGAATTGTGACACACTTAAGGTCACGCTTAGACCCTTTCTAAGGATCAGTTAGTTTTATCATAACAATAAATACTTCATGTGGTCAAAAGATTGCATCTCTAAGCTTTTCATGATTTTGACAACTGTACACTATTGATTACTAGGGTGAGTAGATAACAATAAGAATAGCTTTAAAACACTAGAAAAATCAAAATATTGATTCCCGACAGTGGAATTAATACCAGATATTAATGGTCTTCTTGCATGAAGGATAACACTTTCTATATCCTCAGAATACTAAGTCATCATTTAATCCAGCTGGGGACAAAAAAATTTCGTAGTCCAGATGCCAATAAACTGAGTAAACTGGTTATTTGCCTACGTTTCTGTTGCCCATGAAAAATGAAAAGCACCTTACTGATAACTTCTTGAGTGATCACAGAGAACATACAATATGACAAGCTGTTGACATATTATTTTCAGCATGAGCCATTGCCATCATTTGTAGAAGAATTACCTCTCATTATCTTTGATTGGCTTCACCTTAGAATGTAACAGCCCATTATTGATTTAGGATAAGTTTATATGCAGAATAAACACTTCTGACTTAAAAGAATTAAAGTACTCTTAAAAAGTGAATCACTTTATTATAACATATTATCTAATCACTGAAAATTCAGCATTGATATTTACTACTACAAGAAAATTAATGATGGTAACTTGACAAAGTTAATACTTTAAAGTATTAGCATATTAAAATAACTTTTGTGGGAAATCCTCTAAGTGGGGCATGAGGTCCTCTGATGCTACCTTGTAATGATTGCTTTATTATTAATCATGGGGACAGATGAAGTTAACACACTATCATTATTGCCCAATGCGATAGTTAAGGTGCACCAACCTCCAAGCGCTCCTTCCCAGAAATAGAATACATGTCCACAGTGGGAGACAAAAATGTATTATGTGTGTACATTTCCTATTAAAAGTTGCTTTGGAGGAGTCTGGAATATTTTGTCGTGCCAGGGAAGGGCTCAAAGACTAATAGTACATGTCAAAAGGATACAGGATTATGCCTGAAAAGTCTTCAGTATGAAATAATTTGAGAATTTTTTTGAAGTGATAAAGGATTAAGAAAAAACTTTAAATTCAGCGAAGGTGAGGAAGAGAATAAATTAGAGAAAGAAGGGGGAGGAGCAGATGTTCTTTACAGAAGAATGCCAGTTAATAAATGTAAAAAGAGTGAGAACATTAGAGAAAAGTCGTCATTTTATAATTCCAAATCTATTGATTCAGGGAAGGATCATCAATTAAAGGTAATGCCATTAAGTAAATAGTTGTCAGGGAGCAAGATATACATGTTGTCTCAGATTATTGTCCCACATGATACAATTCTAAAATTTGCATTTTTGCAATGGAGAGAACTGGCAGATAACACCTTAACCAAATGACTGAATTTAGCTTCATCAAGAGTGGGGCAAACTGACATTTGCCTCCTGATGCAATTCAGTAATTACCACGACGTAATTGAGAAGTAGAAATGATCTTCCTTGAATTTGATAATTAGGAAGCAATCAGACAAATCAAGACTGTGGGACATTCTATCAGACAATTATTCTGGACTTCTCAAAAAGTCAATATCAAGAGAGAAAAAGGAAAGAGAGTGACTACATTTAAAAAGACTAAAGGATTATACCAACCAAAAATGCAATGCATGAATGTTGATAGGATTCAGGATTTAAGCAAACTAACTATAAAAGAAGTGTAGGGGCAATGGAGAAAATTTGAATATGAATGGCAGACCAGATGATATTGAATTAAATTTAATCTTTTTAGGTGTGACGATGGTATTGTTGCTATGCAGGACAATGTCCTGTTGGGGAGGCAGGCATGCTGAACTATTTAGGCTGAGAGGCCTGCGATAAAAAAAGCATGCAACTTATTTTCAAATGAGTGACCAAGAAAATCATCAACCAATAAATATATAAATTAGATAGAATGAGCATAAGTGTGGCAATGTATTAAAAATTATGAAGGTTACACAAGTGTTCATTACAACGTTCCTTCAACTTTTCTTAGATTTGAAATTTTTCAACATATTAGTAAAAAGTTGGTGAGAAAAGTTTATTTTGTTTAAAAATGTTGTTTGCATGCTTTAAAAATATGTATGTTTCATAAAAATTAGGAAAATATTAGTCCTCCCAGGTCCTAAGATTAAAAATAATTGTGAGAGGATATTACCATAAATGAATTAATATGTGTAATAATAATTACATGAGTATTTTTAAAGTGCTTCAAAAAGTTCCTGGCATACAGTAGGTGCTTTGTAAGTGTCTGATAAATAAACGGAGATATTTGTATACATACCTGGGACCCACAATTTCTGACCTAAGAAATAAAAGAGCTCCGAATACTCCAGGCTACCATTAGTCAAATGTCCCACTGTCCTCAGACAGCAGCCTCTCCCCACCCGTCATCTGCCCCCTTGGCTCAATGACCTGCCTTAGCAGTAAGGACCCAGGACCACTTGGATAGCTAAAGTCCCACATTGTTCAAGAAGGGTGGATAATATTTTGATCCTATAATTAATAAACAGTAAAGGGAGAATCGAGCACTTCGCTTAGTCTCTGTCCCCTGATGTCCTGCAATTTCTATCTCCTAAGTCCAGTCTGGCCAAGATCAGACTGACTCCAAAGGAAAAACCCTGCAGGCAAGATTGAAACAGGAGCCAACTGTGTTTCCCACATTGGCTTGAAAGTCCAATATCATCTTCACATTTCTCCCTTTGCCCTCTCCCTAGTAAAGTTTGTTTTGAATTGAGGTCCCCATAAATTCAGTAATAATGAGATGTAAATTTCTGCTAACTAGCTGGCAAAATCTTAATCCAAATGAATGAAGTGATAATGATGGAATTTAGAAATTAGCAGGTAAGCATGCCAACAATGTTGAAAGGTCAGAGAGAGAGGCCTTTTCTGTTACTCCAAAGCCATACTAACTACGTGACCAGCTGTACCTATGAGTAAATTAATCGATGCTAATGTTCACGGTTTTTTTTCTTTCCAGGGAACTGACAGAGGTCATTGATCTTTCTAGGTTTAAAAACTTAAAATACTTATGGCTTCATCATAACAAGGTAGTATTACATTTTATCTTTCAATTACTAAAATTAAGTTACTATCTTAATTTCTTATTTTTAATAGAGCTAATCTTTAATAGTATTGATATTTTATATTTAAAATTTACATTTAGGTAAAAAACTTATGTATAACATATATATCTGATAAATCTGGTGTATATATCTGGTATATATGTGTGTGTGTATATTCACATACATATACATACACACATACACATGTTATGTTGAATAAGGATAATTTGTGAGATGCTATCAGACTGCAATTTTACTTTTATCTCCCATGTTTTGTCAAAACTGATCAGTGGAGGCTATTTCTTCCCAGGCTCATGGCAGAAAACTTGGGCAGTCTTATAACTTTTTTTTATCTCTCTTAGGTAATACAGAATCTTACAGTCTATTTGCATGTTAGTCATAATCTCAGTTCATAAATGGGAATCTATGAATCAGATGTCAATCTTCATCCACAAGTGAGACATCCCTCCCTCATTAACCAGCTGGGGCTGACAGCAGATGGCCACCTGCCTACTATATTAACTAGGGTGGTGTGGTTGGCCGTTTTCCTTCCCCTCACCTTCACTCCAGCCTTCTCCAAGTTTGGTATGGAATGGGGTGGTGTGTGGTAGAGGAAAGGCAAGGGAGAAACAAAGTTCTTTGCTTTGTACCCTCAGGTACTACCAGATGTTCAGAGTTTCTCCTACTCTTTATGGAGTTATTCAGAAGCTTCCCTTCTAGGCTTCTCCAATACTGAGTCCTCTTCGCTGGCTACTCCTGACCTCACCTGACTGACCTTTATCTCAGGACTGCTTAACAACTGAGAGTTTCCTGGGGTTGGCAAACTACACCCTTGGGGAGAATCCCTGGTAAAGTGCCCCAGGTCAACATTCCTACAGTGATCCGGTTCCCAGGACTCACACACCTTTGCTCTTTAGTCAGAGGCCAAGAGGGTTGGTACCTCCCAAATGCTACCCAAGCAGATTTAGTTTCCTCGGGAAGTGTCAGGCAGTAGGCCACCATGTCCCCATCTGAGGGAACATGTCTCAAGGTCACTGAGTGTGGTCCTTGTATCTTCTCTTAGAGGCTAGGATTCAGGAGGCAGGAATGGGGGCCTGTGTGTGGGACTTCAAGCTCTTCGCCAGGACAAGAGCAAGACTAAACTAAAATTCAAACCCAGGCAATTATTACAGTTAGCTAGTCAGTAAGTTGTTTTCAACTTTCAAAAATTCAGCTTTCCAACAACTTGTATTTTGTTTATTATACAATATATAGGGAACCCAATCTTGGCATTTTGAATTTATATTTTCAAATACTCACTGATAAAAACAAAAAATTTGAGTTTTCAGCAGTAGTGTACCCATCAAGCAGTGGTCCAGATTCACAGCATCGAATCTTTAAACAGCCACGTTTATGAAAATATTTCAATATTTTATTGAATTTTTAGTCTTTTTTAAAAAACCAACTGACTGGAAAATGGAAAATGAAAGTGCTTTAGTATTAACTATAAACATAAATCTTATAAGCTTGAAATAATTTCTGGGAGAACAACACAAATACCTTCAAGGCCCAGGGAGCTAACAACTGAAATGGAAAGTGCATGCACCACTTAAGGGCATATAAGTTCAAAAGTCTTTTTAAAAAACACTCTGCCAAAAATTATTCTTGATCACAGTGTGAGACTTCTGATTAGAAAAACATGGAAACCATCAGGCATGGCAACAGTGACTAATCTTTGTTTTTAGTGTGTGTTCCTTGTGGTGTTCAATGGTGTTCAGTTTGGAAGGAAAGAACATTTACAAATGTTGGCAGTATGTCCAAAGGAAGAAGTATAATTAAGGACTTTATAATATTTTTCAGCTTTCTGGAAGTGGATATTGTGGGACCTCCAACCACTCATTGAATTTTCACGCAATTGACTTTCAGATGCATTATGCCCTAGGAAGGGATTGTATGAGCTATCAACTATTTTACTTTCTTTTGTTTTGGATGAGGTTGGACCGGGGAAGGGATGCAACAAGTGGTTGGATTCTTTTCTTGTGCTTGCTTATTTATATGCAACAAACTATCTATATTATTTCCAAAATCGGTATCACTTACTTATCATACCTGAAACAGGACTTAAGTGGTCCTGGAATAAGTGAATAAGCTAAAGTGAGTTTTCTCATTGGTCAGTAATAACCTGAGTATTCATACTCCATCAAAAATTAAAGTCTTATTCAGATCCCAAACTCTGATGGGCATATTAGCTACTATAGTGTTTCATCAAAGTTCATATATAAAATTTTAATTATGAGTCCTTTAAAATCTAAATTACGCTACGTTGACCACCAAGAAGATATTATGCCACTGTAAAAATGGTATAGAGAATTGTGGTGAAAAACATTAACACTGACATATGAATATAAATATTTAAAGCAGTAACATTTTGTTACAAATGATCTGAATTCCTACATTTTAATGGGTTTGTTTGATTTTTTCTTGCTGATTTGCTTGAGTTCTTGAGTAGATTGTGGTTATTAGCCCTTTATCAGATGTATAGCATGCAAATATTTTCTCCCATCCTGTAGGTGGTCTATTTGCTCTGTTGATTGTTTCCTTGGCTGTGCAGAAGCCTTTTAATTTAATCAAGTCCCATTTATTAATTTTTGTTGTTGCTGGGATTGCCATTGGGGTCTTCTTCATAAATTCTTTGCCTAGGTCAATATCTAGAAGAGTTTTTCCAACATTTTCTTTTAGAATTCTTATAGTTTCATGTCTTGGTTTAAGTCTGTTATCCATCTTGAATTAATTTTTGTGAGAGGTGAGAGATATGGATCCTGTTTCAGTCTTCTACATGTGGCTGTCCAATTTTCCCAGCACCATTTATTGAATGGGGATTCTTTTCTCCAGTGTATATTGTTGTCTGCTTTGTCAAAGATCAGATGGTGATATGTGGATGGTTTTATATCTGGGTTCTCTGTTTTGTTCGGAAGTGGGCAAAAGACATGAACAGAAGTTTTTTAAAAGAAGATAGACTAATGACCAATGAACATATGAAAAAATGCTCAACATCTCTAATTATCAGGAAAATGACAATCAAAGCCACAATGAGATATCACCTAACTCCAGTGAGAATGGCTTCTGTCAAAAAGTCGCAAAATAACAGATGCTGATGTGGATGCGGAGAGAAAAAGAACACTTATACACTGTTGGAGGGACTGCAAATTAGTACAACCTCTATGGAAAACAGTATGGAGATTCCTCAAAGAACTAAAAAGAGACCTACTATTTGATCCAGCCATCCCACCACTGGGTATTTACCCAAAAGAAAAAAAAGCCATTTTACCAAAAAGACACTTGCACTCGAATGTTTATTACAGCACAATTCACAATCACAAAGATGTAGAATCAACCTAAGTGCCCATCAATTCATGAATGGATTAATAAAATGTGGTATATGTATACTATGGAGTACTACTAAGCCATAAGTAATAACCTGGATGGAACTGGAGATCATTCTCCTAAGTAAAGTATCACAAGAATGGAAAAACAAACACCACATGTGCTCACTATTAAACTGGAGCTAACTGATCAGCACTCATGAGCACATAAGGAAGTAAAACTCAACGGAAATCAAGCAGGTGGAGGGGGAAGGAAGGGTGAAATCACACCTAACAGGTACAATGTACACTATCTGGATGATGTACACACTTATACTTTGACTCAAGCTATACAAAAGCAATCCATGTAGCCAAAACATTTGTACCCCCATAATATTCTGAAATAAAAAAAAAGAATGATCTGAATTTGTAACCAGTATTATTCTTACATTAGTGATTATCTTAGACTACCCTCTATTTTGGAAAAATAAGGCACAAGGAGTAAAATAAAGTGAACACGCATTTTTTGTTTATTCACTTATTCAATCCACAATATTTATTGAAGTCTATGAGGACATTATTGGTTGTTTGCTCGATGTCCATTCTCTCCTTTTTCCTACTCAACAGAACCTGGTTTGGGATTTGGTACATACTCTTCCACCATTCTACTCAAGTAAGCAGTCCCATCCAGTTCCAGGGGTGGATCCTGAACTGTCTAAGCCCATCAGGACAATCCCACCCTCCTGGGGAGTGACTAGTTGAAGAACGGGCATATAACCCAATTGTAATGGGAATGTAAGTGCATATCTGCTAGGAAGCTTCTAGGACAGGTTTCCTTATTCCTAAAAGAGGGCACTAGAAAAGCGGTCCCTTGTTTCCTCTGGAGGTTTTGTTGCCTGGGCATGAAGCCAAGAACTATCCTATCGAGTTGCTGAATCCAACATTTGGAGAAAGGTAGAGCCCAGAGAATCAAGGGGTTACCAAGACTTGAGGCTCTTACAACTTCTGGACTTGTTGATATGTGAGATAATTAATGCTCTTATTCTATGTGTCAATTTGAGTTGGGCTTAGAAGTTGCTTGGAGCCCAAAGCATCCTTCTTGATATAGCTTATTCTTGTACTTGTTAAGCTACTAACAGAATATAACAATAAATGTGATGCCACTACACTAGAGCCAGAGGGAGTGGCTCTTCTCCTGGAAAGGACATTGTATTTGCAAGTTGCCTGGAATAAGAGAACACAGTGGTCTTTGGAGGCAATGAATATAGTTTGGTGAGTTTGGAGCCTAGTGTGCTAGAAGGATGAATACTTCTCCCAGTCATAATCTAGTAGATGATGAAATTTGACCTTCTGGTCTGAACCTGCACTAGCTGATGAAATAGGCACAAATTTCTTTCCAAGGACCTCTAATGTCCCAACTTCCCTAGGTTTGCTCTGGCAACTCTGGTCCCTTCATCATGCTCTCTCAGTGCTAGTTTCCTCCTCCTACTGCACAGATACTCACTGGTTCTGTGAATTTCTTGGGGATCATGTTTTCCTAATGTCTCCTGGTACAATTAGTAGGAGGCAGCTGCTCTACAGTCAGGGTCTATAGTCTCCCTTCTTTGTCTCATCCTCTAACAAGCCTGGCCTAGAGAATTTCAG